AATAGAACCACAGAAATAAATATTGTGCTTATAAATGCCATATGCCCGGTCTCCCACAGATGCACCTAAAGGAAAGAAGCTCATTTTAGGAATTTGAAAAGCTTTAATAAACCCCCAGAGAGGTTCAAATTTACAATCCACAACTTTTATAAAAAGAGTCAGAAAATCCTACGAAAAACATATTTTATTTAATCTCTTCCAGAAACACATTTTGTACATGTTCAGGAATATCTATTTTCCTGCCATCAGAAAGCTGTCCTTACTCTCAGCAGCAGAAAAAGCTACGGAACTGTAGTGACTGACTGAGGCATATTCTGTAAAATTTCCCGTTACATATTTCTGATTTTAATTGGGATAATCTACCTTTCCCTCAATTCAAAATGCCAGAACATATAAAAAAGAGAAAAAGAAAGGTGGAGAAAGTTTGATGATTTATTTTAACATACCTCAAATGTTCACTCTTTTAAAAAAATTGCATTATGGTGAAATATGCATAACAAAATTTATGATTTTAACTATTTTTAGGTGCACAATTCAGTGGCAGTAGGTATATTCAGAGTGTTGTGCAACCATCACCACCATCCATCTCCAGAATTTCTTCATTGTCCCAAACAGAAACTCCGTACCATTAAACAATAACTCCCCACTCCTATCACAACCCCCCCCCCCCCCCCCGCCCCCAGACCAGGTAACCTCTATTCTACTTTCTGCCTCTATAAATCTGCCTATCATAGGTGCCTCATGAGTGGAATCATATAATATTTGCTCTTTTGGGTCTGGCTTATTTCACTTGGAATAATGTTTTCAAGGTTCCTCCCTGTGTTGGCATGTTTCAGTTCTTCATTCCTTTTTAAGGCTGAATAATATTCCACTGTATTTATATCTATTCATACGTTGACAGACACTTGGGTTGTTTCCACTTTTTGGCTATTGTGAATAATGATGCTATGAATATTGGTGTTCAAATATCTATTTCAGTTCTTGTTTTCAATTCTTTTGGGTATATACCTAGAAGTGTAATACTTGTTTGTGTAAATTTTAAAGAGAAAGAGAAAGGATGCATATGCTTAAATATTATAACTTGTGTTCAGACCTGGACCTAGAAGGCTAAGTAGGTGGATTGAAGGAGGTAAAAAAGCTACCTTAACCATTATTCTAAAACATACTGCAGTTCCACTGCCTCAAGGTATTGGAAAATTCAGTTTTGATGAGAGCTTGTCATTTGGAAACGTCTGAAACGACAGCTTACATATAAGAAACTAAACCTCCCCAATATAACCAATAAAAGGTTGTGAGGTTCTTCATTTTCAGTTTCAATGTTTTCCCTTGAATTGGTTGATTAGAGTGCCCTCATGTGTCTGCATTTTTACACTATGGAGGTTTTGGAAAAGACTTATTAGGATCATAGAACTGTGCGGAAAATTTAAATATCATCTTTTTAAAAAATTGAATATTGACGACATGCAAGCTCCCATCCCCAAGCAGTTAAAAACTTTTTTTTAACAGTGATCTAAATCACACACATGAGAGAGTATCTAAAATGTATCTACAGTGTACAGGCATACCTCATTTTATTGCGCTTTGCAGATATTGCATTTTTTACAAGACCCTTCACGAGCAAAAAGATTACAACTCACTGTAGGCTCAGATGATGGCTAGCATTTTTTAGCAATAACGTATTTTTTAATTAAGATACTACATTGGTTTTTTAGACATAATGCTATTGCACACTTAGACTATAGTATAGTGGAAACATAACTTTTACATACACTGGGAAACCAAAAAATTCGTGTGACTCACTTTATTGCAATATTTGCTTTATTGTGGTGGTCTGGAACAGAACTTGTAACGTCTCTGAGGTATGCCTGTAAACAATGAAAACCCACACCCCTCTTAGTGAGAACGAGTACAGTACTAGTACCTTAGAAGCTCTCTAAATGCTCTCCCTGAATTTCATCACCCAAGATTACTTTTAAAGGTAACACTACCATGAATTTATGTTAATCATTCCCTTGCTTCTCTTTATAGTTTTGCTGCTTGTGTTTGTTTCCCTAAACAGTATTTGAGGCAGGAGGGTTTGCAGGTTCCTATTTTTGAACTTTCCATAAGTTGAATCCTCTTGTATGCATTCTTCTATGACTTGTTTTTTTAATTCTAGCTTTAAAAAAACCCATATTTTAGGGGCTGGCCCCGTGGCCCAGTGGTTAAGTGCCCGTGCTCCGCTGCAGGCGACCCAGTGTTTCATCAGTTTGAATCCTGGGTGCGGACATGGCACTGCTCATCAAACCTTCTAGAAGGACCCACAACTAAGAGTATACAACTATGTACCAGGGTGCTTTGGGGAGAAAAAGGAAAAACATAAAATCTTTAAAAAAAAAAAAAACATATTTTAGTCTTTGCGTCCATGTCTTCAGGGTGTTTCTTTTTATGAATATACTCTTGGTAGACATTCAGGTTGTTTCTAGGTATTATGAATAAAGATGTTAGAACATTACTCAACCTGTTGCCTGGTGCTCATGTGTAACAGTTTCTCAGAGGAATACAAATAGGAGTGGAATAGCTAGGTCTTAAGGTGTGCACATATATCCAGTTTTTCTGCGTAATGCCAATTTTTCCAAAGTGGATGAGAGTAATCTGTAAGAAGTCTCTGTTCTCCATATCCTTGCCAGCACTTGGTTGTCAGACTTTTGTGTTTTGGCCAATCTAGTACTGTAGAGTGAAATGTTATCTAACATGGTTTAAAAGTGCATTTCTAGGATTATTCGTGAGGTTTGGTATCCTTCCTGTTTACACGTAACTTGTAGTTTTTCCTCTGTGAAATGCCTATTGTGCCTTTTCATTTTTCTATTGGGTTGTTTGCCTTTTTCTTATTGATTCATTTGTTGTTGGTAGTGCCATCATGTCCACTTCAACCCCAGCGACCCTGTGGACAGCAGAGCAGAACCCTGCCTGGTCTTTTTGTGCTATCCTCTCACCCTCCATTGCTCTATCAGCAATATTCCACTGCTATTTATAGGGTTTTCATGGCCAGATTTTTCATAAGTGGGTGGAAACTGAAAGGTGTCCACCATGGGTGACCCTTCTGGTATTTGAAATACCAGTGGCCTAACTTTCAACATCACAGCAACACGCGGCCTCTGCACCATGACAGACCGGTGGTGTGGTTCCCTGTCTGGGAAAACAAAGCTGGGCCACAGTGATGAGAGCACCAGATCTTAACCACTAGACCATGAGGGCTGGTATTGATTCATAGGCATTCTTTTTTTCTTTCAGGTGCTAGTTTTTAAAATAGGAAGATACAGTATTCACACAGAAGAGTGTGTAAAACATAAATTTATTGTCAAAATAATTTAAAGTCAAAGACTGTGTAACCACCAACTAGGTCAAAAAACACAATGCTGCCAACACTCCAGAAGCACCTCCTTTGCCCCCCCCTGTTCTCCATCCCATTCTGTTCTCAGAGGAAATTACCATTCTGACTTTTTTGGTAATTACTTCATCATTTTGCTTTTTATAGTTTTATCACCTGGAAATGTATCCTGAACAATATAGTTTAGCATTGCCTGCTTTTGAATGTTATAAAAATGGATTCACATGCTATATATTCTTTTGTCTTTGGTTTCTTACACACATCATGTTTGTGAACTTCATGTTGTTTCACCTGGTTGTGGTTTCACATATCTGTAGTTTGTTCATTTCTGTCACTGTATAGTATTCCACAGCTGTTTGGTAGACTTGTTGCTGTATAGTATACCACAATTCACTGAACGATTGTACCCTTGATGGACACTCGCGTTGTTTCCAGATTTCTGTTCTTATGAACAATACTGTTGAGAACATTCTTGTAACCTCTCTGGATATACCTGAGCAAGATTTTCTCTAGAGGAGTAGAAGTGTTAAGTCCAAATTATACATATCTTTAACTTTGCTAAATAATCCAAAACTACTTTCCGAAGTGGGTATACCAATTTGTGCTCTCCCCACGAGTATTAGAGAATTCCCATTCGTCTACCAACAATTGTTGATGTCAGAGTTTCTAATTTTTGCCAAGCTAGCGGGTGTGGTTTGGTTAAAGCCAATCACTGTGATTTAAACGTGTTCCCTGGCTAGTACCGAGCCTGGGCACATACGCGTTTATTGGCTATTTGGATTTCTTCGTTTCACAAGCACCTGTTCACCTCTCTTCCCCATTTTTCTGTTGGGCTGTCCGCCTTTTTCTTTGGAAGTTCTGGTATATCCTGGACACTAGCTTTTGCCCATGACACGCATCACAGATCTCTTCTCCCAGTCTGTGGTTTACTTTTTTCTCTCTTTATGATGGTATTTTGAAGGTCAGCTTTTCTCTTCAATTTTAACATATCAACTTTATCACTCTTTTCTAGTTAGCGCTTTTCGTTTCAGGCATTCCGACCCAGCCGTCGCGAAGACAGTTCCGTGAGTTAGTTCCGGGCAGTCCTAGCTTTGCCGGTGGCCCTTCCGTCCCTGAGGCGCCTGCAATCGTGTGTGGTGTGCAGAGTCCCCTCCCCCTTCTCCCGACCAGACGGCCGGTGGCCGCGGCCGCGCGCGGAAAAGCGTCCTCCCGCCGTCGGCTCTGCAGGGCCGCTTCCGCCAGAACGCGGCGGTCCGCACGCGTCCGCCACCGCTTCTCACTCCTTCACCAGAGAAGAGGCGGCTATCTTGCTGAAAAGGCATGGTTTTGCTTGGTCACTCACCTTCCGTACTGTTTTGTGTTCATTAAGTTTTCATCATTTCGTGTGAACACGCCACTGTAACCTAATCTGGCCTGTGAATGTTTCAGGGAATAAACACCGCGGCAACAGGGACCACCGAACGACAGCAGGCACCTCCCTCTGAGGCTCCGCCCCGTGGGCGCCAGTGCCCGCCTTTTCCCTGAGGACGCAACACGCAGGCGCGGCCGGGCCAGGGCCCACGCGCCAGACAATGAATTGCGCCTGCGCTAGGGAACGCCCCGCCCCCACCCTTGGTCCTCTATAAAGCCTCGAGTTTCTCCTCGCGAGAGGCTTCGTTCTCATGTTAGCTGCGGGGGTCGGAGGTCAGAGCGAGCGTCTCGCGGGCCGTAGGAGGAAGATGGCGGTGGAGTCGCGCGTTACTCAGGAGGAAATTAAGAAGGAGCCGGAAAAGCCGATCGATCGGGAGAAGGTGTGGGGTCCGGAAGGAGATGGTGGTGGGCCCGATGGGGCCGGTGCGCGGAAGGCGGAGGGCTTTTTGCTCCCAGGGCGGCTCGGAGGCCGCGACGCCTCCGGAAGGGAAGCGAGCTCCGGACTCGCTTTCTTTAACTCCTGCCCTTTCCCTTCCTCTTCTCTCCGCCAGACATGCCCGCTGCTGCTGCGTGTGTTCACCACCAATAACGGCCGCCACCACCGAATGGACGAGTTCTCCCGCGGAAACGTGCCGTCCAGCGAGCTGCAGATCTACACTTGGTGAGGCCGCGGGCGGGCCGCTGCCCTTGCCGGGGACGCTTGTCCTCGTCTTCACTGTCTCTCCCGCTCGGGGCCTTTGCGGCAGCTCTCAGAAAGTTAGAGGTTTTAGCTGTTAGGTAGACGGGGATTTGCCTACTTTGTAATTCTTTTAACGTTTAGTATTTAAACTTTGGGGTTGTAAAGAACTGACAGACCCAAGATTGCTATCACTGTTACGGCTGCTGGGTACAAAAGTGATAGGTAGGTAATTAAAATGCGGTAGCCGCCCTTAAGGGGCTCCTGGTTGGATAAATGGTACTAGAATAACATGGTGGGGGGAGTGATGCTGTTGAGTGGTAGTAGTTATCCTTGAAGAGCATTTCCACGTAATATGACGCCTTCGGTGCTATAGCATCAGAAGCAAAAACCGAGTGATTTCTGATCTGGTGCTTAATGGATAAGCTTTTGATGTGTGTTTAGTGAAGACCTGCCCCCGAATGTCTGTCTTATGTGTACCTTCCCTACCCTCAAGTCTGAGCAGGACCGTTAGGTGCAGCAAGCTGCATGTAATGCCTTGGTTTGACATCATAATGTCGTTTTAGTAGCAGGAAAAGGTGTATAATTTTTTAAAATATGTCTGTCGTGGTAAAATATATATAACATTTGCCTTTTTAACTGTACGATTTGGTGGTATTAAATATATTCACATTGTGCAACCATTGCCATTATCTATTTCCAAAACTTTTTCATTCCCCTCCACAACAGAAATTCTGTTGCACAGTAACTCCCCATTCCTATGAATTTTCTGTCCTTTTGTGTCTGGCCTGTTTCATTGAGTATGATGTTTCCAAGCTTCATCCATGTTGTAGCATGTGTCAGAACTTCGTTCTTTTTTATGGCTGAATAATAGTTCATTGTATGGACATAGCACATTTTGTTCGTCCACGAATCTGTTGATGGGCACTGGGGGGTTGTTGCCACCTTTGGGCTATTGTGAAGAATGCTGCTATGAACGTGGGTGTACATGTGTCTGAGTCCCTGCTTTCACTTCTTTTGGGTATATTCCCAGAAGTGGGATTGCTGAATTCTACCGTCATTCTGTTTAACTTTTCAAGGAACCGCTATTTTCACACAGCATTTTACATTCCCAAAAAGGTGTGTGATTTTAAACTGGAAGCCCAGTATACTCGAACTCAGTTCTTTAAAGATTGGGACCTTATTTGTCTTTCTGGAGGTGCTTGTTAAATGTATGTAATAGTAAGATTCTAATTCAGTATCATTCCGGGATAAAAGTTCCAGGAAGGTTGATTTAACTTATAGGGAAGAATGTTGTTAATGGATTGATGGGAACACCTCTGTTCAGAGATTAAGGTGTATATTTCCTCCAACAAATGAGAGTTCCTATTTGCCAGGTGCTGTGCTTAAGACCCTGAAAGTACAAAGTAGAGAGGGCACTGCCCCTTCCTATACTGTAGTAAGCTCAGTTGAATGGAGGAAGCAGATGAATAAATACTAAGACTTTAGGGTGAAGATGGCAGGGTGAGATTGTTCCACAGACCCTTTACTCCCAATCAAGAAAAAAAAAATTACAAAAAAATCCTCTCCTAAACTGTGCTGTCCATAAACTGCAAGCAAACAAGGAAAGACAGCCTTATGTTGTACCTCGGAATGGTGGCTAAAGAAGACAAAGACTCTGAAAGACTTGATTGGTTGGTGTGGGGGTAGCACAGAGCCCTGCTCCCACTCCCAGAAGCAGTGATGAGGGAAGATTAGTGAACAAATCTTGTGAATTCTCAATTTGTAGAAGTAGCCTGAGGGGCTAAAGTAGGCAGCCCCAAGACAAGTCAGGGAAAAGGAGTGGAAGTCCAGCCCAGCAGAAGCAAAGTCAGTGGCACTGTGTGCAGTTGGGGGAACAAGCCAAATACCACAGGAATGGTATATCTCCTGCACTTGGGTGGTCATTAAACAGGTTCCTGGAAGATAATGACATAGGTCACTGTATGTAGCAAGGTTCAACTAGAAAAAAAGAACCAGTAGGAGATATATATTATAAGAGATTTATTGCAGAGAATTGGTTTACACAATTGTGGGGCTGCCTAGGCACCTAAGTCCCTAATCTGTAGGGCAGGCTATCAGGAAGGGCAGGCTGGAACTCTCAAGCATGAGCTAAAGCTGCTGGCTATAGCCAGAATTTCTTCAGGAAAGGCTCAGCTGTGCTCTTGAAGCCTTTTCAACTGATTGAATCAGACTGACTCAAATTGATTGGATGAGGTTTACTTGTTATCTAGGATAATCTCCTTAATTTAAAGTCAACTGATTATAGAGTTTAATCCCACCCACAAAATACCATACACAATACCTGCCTTAGCATTTGATTGAATAACCAGGGGCTGTAGCTTTGCCAAATTGACACAAAACTGACCCTAACAGTCACCCAGAAAAGAGTTCAGCCTGAAGGGAGCTCTTGTGTTGTTCACCTGTGTACTCAAGCTTTAGACTAGTTGTCAGAAAGCAACACTTGGCAATTTGTTTAGAGAGGAAGAAAAAATCCTTTCTGGTACACCTCATAAGTCTATACTGTGTACGAAGGAATAATTGATACAGAATAAACATCTCAGAATATCAGGTGAAAAAAAACACCTCCAAACAGATTTAAAAAATCATTCTGGCCTCAGACCTCATGCCAACACTGGAGATGAGTGGGGACAAAGTTAAAATAACCAGGGTAATTGTTACAGAACAGAATATGAACTCTGACAAAGTAAAAATAAGCTGCAAAACTAGGTGAGAGGAAGAGAAACAACGTGAATATCTGAAATTTTAACAATTCCTTCAATTTCACTTTAGTTTTTCTTCTGTTAAATTTCAAGTAAAATTAATTTTTGTTAAAAATATGTATAATGTTTGAAGCGTGAGTTACATTTTTGTATTATAGTCTCAGCATGTATAACATGCTTGATAATATTAAGACTATTTTCTTCTGTAGCACTGTGTATGCATTAAAAGATGCCTAGAGGGATGTTAGCATCACTGGTTATTTCTGGTTGGTGAAATAATTTGTTGAATTCTTGGATATGGCTTTTCCCTTGTTTAAGTAATGAATACGTATCAAGTTGAGAAAGACAGTCATGTGCAGTTTCTTGCCCTTTTCATGCCCACCTGAGTGGCCTTGGGCCTGGAACTTTTCCTTGAAAACAGAGAGAGAGAATCCTGACTGCCTCTGCTGGGCATTGCTCTTTGGGAGTATCTTTCCCTGTTCTGGGCTTGATATGTTCTTGTTTTCCTTAAACATGTGCGTCATGTGGCACCTCACCAACCCCACTGCTATATCCATTCCTAGTGGGGAGGGAAGGGGGGTCTTTCGCCTGCAGCACAACGGGAATGAGTGCAGACGTGTCTGTGCATCAGCTGCAGGGTGAGGCTTGCTGGCAGTGGGGGACCCACACTCACTGTTGAAGCTGACCCTGCTCTGTGCAAGTAAAGCATTGTTCCATCCAGTGCCCGAGTGAGTCATGTCTTTCTTGGCAACCCCAGCACCTGCAACCATGCAGTAGGCTGGCATCCTGGGACTGCTGCTCCTGGTAGGAGGCATTGTTCTTTGCTATCCTCTACACAGTTGGACTCCTCCCTGGGAGGTGGTAACAGGTATTACTTGGCATATTTGTTTTGTGCAAAAACAGGAACTTTAAAAAACTGAGATGGAGATGAGTTGAAGGCAACATATACAGTTAAATAAGAGGCTAAAATAAAGCAGTGATGGAGGGGATGGAGAAAAAAAGATTTGATCTGTATGGGAGGTAGAAACGACGGGATGGAGGTGGAAGGAAGTTAACAATGCTTAGGTTTATGACGTGGGCAACTAAGTGGGTGATGGTAGTTTTGATGGTAATAGGAGAGGAAGGGCATGTTTTGGGGGGAATACTGTTGAATCTGTTACCAGCATATTTAGAAAGATTCAGCAGCAGTAGGGAACGGATGATGATGTGGTCGTCCTGGATATTTTTACTCTCAGTAAAATGGTGGTAGCAGTTGAAGCCCTAGTTTTACTTGAGTATGATTTGGTGGAGATTTGTATATGGGGTGCAGAGTTAAAACTAAATGGCCTCTTGGGCATTTGATTCCCTGCTCGATGGTATACAGTGGAGTTCTCATTCTTCATGAGTGCCTGGTATCCTTGTGTCATATTGTAGCACCTTATAGGCAGTGCTCCTTCAAGTTCCAAGTCATCTATTTCTTTTTCCCTGTTGTCATAAAAGAAATCAATGTAAAAATTTATACTGGTTTGTTACTGTTTCCAAGATGCTTATCTTTTAAAAGATTTTTCCAGATTGTGCCATATTAGCTCAAAGGACTATCTTAAGTTCTGAGTTCAAATAAGTATTTGCAGGGCAGGAATATATATTTTGAAAGGAGACTGTGTTTGGTCTTGAGAAAATTTAATGTTTCGTTAGCTTTAGGACACCCATCTATTGTGAAACTCATCATAAGATTCCATCTTAGAAAGGAAAGATACGGCACATCTTTATGAAAATGCTTTCCTATCACATTGATTCTAAGATGCATTCTAATTTCAGAGAAGCTAAAATGTGGAAAAGTACGTGTCTTAGAAATAATGAAATACAGTTCTTTTAAGTGTTTGGACTAGTTAACTTTGAAGGGGTAAATGACTAGGCCGATAAGATGTTACATAGCAACAAAAGATAGCATATGTAATTCTGAAGTCCCTTTTAACATACTGACATGCTAAACTTTAAATTCATCACAATTTCAGACATTGAGGCTGGTAAGGGGGGGAGTATTTGAGGGCAAATAGTAATATTAGGTGCTTTAAAATTAACTCAAGTATAAGACCTTGACAGTTTCTAACATAAGTTGCAGTTCAGACACATATAAATAACTTGTTGTATGTCAATATCCTTGTTATATTATTGCTGATTAATCAAATGTACTATCTTTTTTAAAAAAAATTCAGGATGGATGCAACCTTGAAAGAACTGACTAGTTTAGTAAAAGAAGTCTACCCAGAAGCTAGAAAGAAGGGCACACACTTCAATTTTGCAATTGTTTTTACGGATCTTAAAAGACCTGGCTATCGGTAGGTAACTTTTTGTTTTTAATTCCTATAATCTCTTTTTGGTTTTGATATGTTTTAACTGATAGGGATAACCCCTTTAATGAATCTCTTTAGTGGGGGGAATATAGATTTGTATTAATATCTGGTTTGGCTTTATATAGTACTTAAATTTTTAACTGTCTCATAAGATAATGGAGCAAATCCAGTCCCATATTCACTTTGTAGTACATATTAAGTTGCATTGATTTGTGATCCATTAATAGTTGATCTCCTTTTCTGCAGAGTAAAGGAGATTGGCAGCACCATGTCTGGGAGAAAGGGGACTGACGATTCCATGACCCTGCAGTCGCAGAAGTTCCAAATAGGAGATTATTTGGACATAGCAATTACCCCTCCAAATCGGGCACCACCTCCTTCAGGGCGCATGAGACCATATTAAATTTTATTTACTATTTCTTGAATTTATTTTTCATTCAGTTATGTAAAATAAACTTATGCTTTTTTCTTCCCCTCATTGTTGCCATTAAGCCTTTAAACAAATTGTAATGCATCTATTTAGGAGTTAGATTTGGCTGTGCTATGGTATGAAAATTAATAGAAAGTCCATATGTTTCAAGTCCTTCTGTAAAATATGAAGAAAAGTGCTCTTAGCCTTCTATGTAAAACTGTATTGTTAAATATATGTGTGCAATTCACCTGAGTGTCAAAATTAACGGATGCATGGGAACAGGGTTTCATTTAGTATTTGGGGTAGCTGAGTAGTGGAGGATGGTATGTTTAAGCCCAAATGGGGCAGAACAAGAAAGCCATGGGGATTATATTAACTAGAGTTCGTGACCCCAACGATTGTATGCAGTTAGAAAAAGGACCTGTATGAGTGAGGTAGCGTGGCAGCAGAGGCATTTTAGAATACTGTGAGCCAAGGCAGGTTGAAGAAGCTGTCTGTTTGAAGAGATTGGCCTGCCTGAATCAAAGTGCAGTGACATAAAAAGAGAAGAGGAGAACTGCTGCCACAGGGAGGGCTTTTTAGGTTTCAAAAATGGAGAGAACATGGCATCTTGAGGACAGGAAGCAGTATAGAGGAAACAAGGGTTAGAACTTAGGGTGAGGGTGGAAAGTTGACCTTGAAGAAGATCTGAAAATGGAGGGAGGGACGAAAGAGGAACTTAAGACCAAGGGAGAAGAGCCTGGGATGAGGTCAAGGTGAGTCAGTAGGGGATATGCACCCCTCCCGTTAAGTGCAGGGTCTGGTTTGTATCTGACATCTGATTTGAGAGGCAGTATGCGTAGCGGTTAAAACCAGTTAGGCCAAACGTTGAAATCCGGTTGCACCTGTATCTCTTCAACCATGGACAAGTTACTTGAATCTGTTTGTTTTTTTAATTTGTAAAATGGAGATAGCAGTCCTTAGGATTGTGAGGATTAAATATTTGCAAAGGGCTTAGAATAGTGCCTGACGTGTAAGAAACAAATGTTAGCTATTAGCCGTAAAGTGGAGTTCAGTCAAAACTGGGACCATATCTTGCGTGGCACTATTACATTCTCATTTTGAAGTTTGTAGAGTATGACAGTATGTGATAGACCTAATTACCTTTAGTCTATTACAGTAGAAAATTAAAAATGTGTATTCCAAAATGTAATAATATGTATGTTCTAGCAGTGATTTTCAAAGCAAAATTGCAGTTTTATCTTACAAAAGTAGCCTTTTAAAATCTAAAATGATTCTGTGGAATTGGGTCCCTGTTGCAAAGTCAGTCAGCAGGTGGCAGAGACAAGCCTGGAATCTCGCCTAGTGCCTCGTACCCTGTGGTTTACTCCAAACCCTTAGATTCTTTATTCATTCAGACTAGATAAACTTGAGTTCTTTAAGTCTTAAAATTAATTTATACCTAATATTTTAGAGAAGAGGAGCCATGATTACCTTCCTATTTGTGGGAAAGTAATTGATTTACTATGCAGATCAAGAAGGCAGGAACTAAATACAGGACCTTCGTAGGCCAATTTTTCATAATGGTGTGAACTCATACAGTGAGGGCTCTCCTGTAATTCCAGGTTATTCTCCTAGTTGAAATAAAGTGGTTTATTTGCTTGGTTCCAACCTGGAACTTTTCCTTTTAAAGATTTCAGTCTTCCACCAAAAGTACAGTTAAAGAATACCTAGTGAATTTATTACTGAATATAATGTTAAGAATCAAAAGACTTATACTTGGTCCTTATTTACCTCTGACTTTGGGAAGTATGGCTTTGGAGTAACTGAGCTGTCTCCTCAAATATAAAATAGAAATAAATGGTTACCACGCTCAGTGCTTTAGTATCCTGACTGCCTCACTTGCTTGTAAGGTATTTTGGAGTTGAAATTTTCCCTTTGGAGTATGTGAGTTAATAGCATATGCATTGCCTGTAGTATCTTTTCATTTTTCTCACAGCATACGTGAACTTGGTATTTTCGTTTTTTTACCACATCCTTAATAGGGAGTCTCAACGTTAAGTTTATACTTAAATTTTACAAAACATGACTGGAACTCTCATACCCATAGTAATCATTGGCCCAGGTGATGTTTCTTTTTTTTTTCTTTTTTCTCCAAAAGCCCCCTGGTACATAGTTGTGTATTTTTAGTTGTGGGTCCTTCTAGTTGTGGCATGTGGGACGCCACCTCAGCATGGCCTGATGAGCGGTGCCATGTCAGCGCCCAGGATTGAAACCAGTGAAACCCTGGGCTGCTGAAGCAGAGCGCACGAACTTAACCACTCGGCCACAGGCCCAGCTCTTCAGGTAATGTCTCATATATCAATTTTGTGCATGTGAGGGGCGGGTGAGAAGGGAAGGGAAAGCTATTAAACTGTTAGGCTAGGTCTAAAATTCTCTAAAATTTAAACTGTTAAATAAAAAGCTGAACTCAGCCTACCTCTTTCTATTCAAACACAAATTCCAAACTTGGTTTTTGTGAAACTGAGAAGTCAACACCCTAAAACTAAGGTTATCATAATAATTATAATTTGAGTGCTTAGTTGTGCCAAATACCATGCTAAGGATCTTTACCAGGCATTCTCTCATTTGACCTTTACAACTGAGATACTATGACTATAGTTTCCACTTACAGTTGAAATTGAGACCTGCTTTAAACAGCAGCTCACAAGTGAGGCATATGAACCTAGATAGCCGACAGTAGATTAGTGGGAACATACGTTTCCAAAAATAATTCTTTCATAGTTTCTTTTGACCTCAACCCACACTACACTGTTACAGCTCTTGCAGTGAAGTTATCCTGTGCATTGTAAATTTCTGACAAGGTACAGTCAAGGTACAGTACGTGGACCTGTTTGTTTTTGTACAAACCAAAACACCTCCTTTTAAAGAAATGATATGGTCATGGTTTCCAGACTGAGTATTAGAGCAGCCAAATGATGTCTTCATGTTCTGATTTGTACTTTATTGCTTAGATACAGGTTTTGCCAATAGCTGTAATTTCTTGGAGTCTGAAATGGAGTAAAGTTGAAGGAAGTATGTTTATTCTGTTAGAAGGGATTCATCATGACTGGGTAACTAGTCTATAAAGACAAAGTCATGGGTTTTTCCCCCCATAAGCTAAAACCTAAAAAGCAATTTTAATACTTAGTACTAGTTAATACTACCTAAATACTAATAATTCTAATGCTAAAAATTCCCTTCAGCCTGGGAATGTTAGGCAGAATTTATTGTATAAAGGTGTTACTACATACCTACCTCATCAGACTGTTGGGAGAAGCCAATGAAATGGTGCTTAGAGGAATGCCTGGTGGATAGTGAATGTTCAATAAATAGCTATTTTAAAAGAAGAAAAAAGGCATTTGTAGCCCCTCACTTTGTGCCTTTAGTTGTTCAGAATTTCCTACCCTACCCAGGCTGGCAGGCCAGCCCAGTTACAACCAACTCCTAACAAAACTTCAGATGGTATTTGATGAAGTTTAAGCAGTTTAAATTATGAATAAGGTGAACCTCCTGAAACATTTCCAAAATGTGTGTAAATTCCAGAGTAATTATTGGAAATTGTCAGAATTTGTAGTGCGCCCAATTACTCGAACTCTTCTCACACTTTCCAGTACTTTGCCAGAGAATAAAATAGATTTAATGACTGCCTCTCAGCAGGTACTATGGGCCTGGTGATACACAGAGAAATCTGACACAAATATAGATCCTTCCTCAGTCCTACAATGTCTAGTAATGAAAGAAGGTGTAAATACTGATGATAAAAGGTAGTTAGGAAAGTGTTGCGAGAAACGGTTGCTACTGAAGATGGCGTTTGGCCTGCTTCAACTCCTAAAAGAGGGGTTGGGTTTATACTCCTGATAAAGGGTACAGCATGAACAAAGGCATGGAAGTGGAAATGGGAACTCATACAATCAAGGGAGCACTTATTATGTACTAATTTTGCCTGGAGTTCAGGAGAAAGAGGAATGTCAGATGCTGTTGGAATAATCTAGGTGAGAATTGAGATGGTGGTAGAGGGGAGGGGACACATCCCAGAGATGTTAGAGGCCATCAGTAAGATTTGGGGTGGGAAATGGGACGTGGGAGAGGAAAATCAATCATTAAAGCCACAATCTCCTAATCTGAAAAACTGGGATGATAGCTTAACTCTTACAAAGTAGGTACTAAGAAATAAGTCAGTAAATGTTTTTATAACTGTGCCTAGCATAGTAAGACCTCAGTAAGTGTGTGATGTTATCACTAAATCATTCAATAAATATTTTAAATTGCTAGGTACCAGCGTAAAGAACCAAGAAGATCCCTGCCCTCAATGAACTTATGGTCCGGTGGGGGAGACAAACACTAATGTACATTCGAATATTTTATTACAAATTCTACCATGTTATATGAAGGATGAGAATAGGGTGCTGAGAAAGAACTGAGAGAGAGGACTTCTTTTAGCCTGGGAAAACAGGTAAAGTCTGATAAAATGATGAATCTCAGACCTGAAGGGGATAAACCAAGACTCTTAAGAGTTTCAAATAACAAGAAAGCTCCAGCTAGCTTAAGCACATTAATGAATCATTCTTTGAATGATTTCAAAAATCATGAATCATTTAATTGAAAGGTCTCGAGTTAGAGCCAGCTGGCTTCAGGCCCGTCTGGATCACTGGGCTGAAAGTTCTCACAGCTCAACTCACTTGCTCTCGATAGGGCTTCTGTGTGCTGGCTCCATTCTCAAGCAGGTTCTCCCTTGGAGGTGGCAAGAGGGTAGCCAGCAGCTCCAGGTGTACGTCTCTGTATATCCAGGGAAGTGCTGCTCCCAGAGTCCCAGCATTGGCTTTCATTGACTTGACTGACTGGTGTCGTCAGGGACTGATGCTGCTTGGTTAAGCTGGGAGCTGGACTATGACTTCTTCAAGGCAAATCAGAATATTGTTTTCCTTTAAAGGGGCAATAGTGGTGGGCAGACAAAAATGTCTATCTACAGCATAAAGATGAGAGGGAGAGTTACTTAAGCAGAGTGGGTGGGAAAAAGTACTCTAGGCAGAGAGCAGTACGCGTGAAGCCCTGAGGCAGGAAAGAAAGGAAGAAAAAGATGACTAGTGTGCTACAGCACAAGTTAGAAGAAAAGAGGGGGAAGTAACCCAGGGACAAATTATACAGAGTTATGTAGGTCCTCTTATGGATCTCGGATTTCATTTGAGGAGCAATGGGAAGACACTGAAGGATTTTAAGCAAGGAGAGACATGCTTGAAAGATCCTAACATTTGAACTTGATAAGCTAGAAACAGTTCTAAGTAACAGAAACTTAAGATCATAGGAAAGTGGTAAGGGTCAGGGAAAGAGAAATTTTGGATAAACTGAATTTGAGAGGCCATCACAAAACAAGTGGAGAGCGCTAACAGGCAATCAGAAATGCTTAATGTAACATTTCCCATCTTTTTTTTTTAAAAAAAGCCATTTTTGCTCCATATCCTTCTCTAGCTGCAACACCATTTCCTCCCTTCAGCAAAATTCATCACAAGAGCTGTCTCAATCCATTCTTTGCTTCCTCAGCTTTATTCTCTTCAGTCCACTTCAGACTTCTATCCCTAGCAGTCCATCAAAATCAGTGCTGTCAATAACATCATTTTTGCCAAGCCCAGTGGTCAGTTCTGTCCTTTTACTTGGATTCTCAGCAATACTGACAGAATTGATCACTCTTCTTGAAATATTTTTTTTCCTACTTCATTGGCCTCTTCTCAGTCTCCTTTGCTAGACTGCTCTGCCTCTTTCCATCTTCTAAAGTTAGCGGAACTTCTGGATTCAGCCCTTAGTACTCTTTGAATACACCCCCTCCCTCCTCAAGCAGTCACATCCATTCTGTGGATTTACATACATATAACTGTGGTATTTTAAATAGGGAAACAAAGTTGACAGACATTTGAGAGTCATCATCATATATAAGGGTGACTATAGCTTTACCTTGAAAAATAAAACTAAAGATCTTAAAAATAACTTATTTTACACCATATTTAGCAGAAATTATAACTACACAGTAATTCCTAGAACAAAGAATAAACAAAGTTTTGTTTTAGTGACAATTTTAAAATGAGAGCACAATGTGAAGTCTTCATATTTGACTTGCAAGGCACAATCATAAAAGAGGGTAATCTTTACTGTCCTGAAAGCTAAGCCTCTGAAGCATCTTGTCATTTTACTTGTCAATTATTTCTTCTCGGATTTTTAACTCGTCTCCACAATATGCCAGGCCTGTATTTTTCCATTGGCTGTAATCTGAAGTTTGCCAACAGTACTTTCATGAATTTAATTAGATAAAATTACTTTCCAGTTGTACTTAAATTGGAAGGAAGGATCTTAGGCTTGATGAACAAGGCAGTCCAGAGCTATCAGATAGCTCTAGAGGCATTCGGTCCCCCAGGGCAGTCTGGAGCTATCAGCTCTAGAGGCATCCGGTCTCCCAGGGCAGTCTGGAGCTATCAGCTCTAGAAGCATCCGGTTCCTGTCTCCTGTGGCGACAGCTGACAGTTCAGAGAAGGGCACCTGGCCCAGAATGAATCAGGACCTTCCAGAGAAAGTGAGGCTCAGGCTTTGTTGGGTAGCCAAGCTGGAAAGGGGAACCTGGAGAGGTCAGCAGCCATGTGCTGGAAAGAGCTGACATGAAATAAAAAGCTGAGAGGAGAAAGAGGAAAAACACATCCTGACAGCAGGTAAGTCCCTGATTCCACTTGAGACCTACTATAGTGCAGTTACCTAGGCCTGTGAATTCCTCTTTTCCTAAATTAATTTAAGCTGTCATTTGTAACAACAGTGTCTTAAAAGAACCTTGTTGAAATAAAAGGTGTAAAAGAC